ATTTGACTTCTGTGCATTTGGCGTAACTGAGATGGCACTTGGCAATCAGGCATAAAAATGGAGTTTACAGTACTCATCCATTGCATGACCTTTAACAGAAGCATGTGTCAAAAAACATCTCCAGAGATAGCTCTGTCAGTGCTTTAGCTGGATACGTGGTGTGTTGGTTTTGACAAGGAAGACAAATGGGTGTGTAGCTGCTAATACTTTGCAGAAGTTTCAGTTTAATAAAGGACTGGCCTGCAACTTAAAAAAGCTTTTTGCATAGAAAATGATTCCTGCAGAAGCAATGGTTTGTTTAGCCTTCCTGAAGCAGTTGGAAATGGCACAAATGGAAACCAGTTTTTTAAACTTTGTTGCTTATAGCAGGAAAAATGCAGCTGGTTATTCAGACTGCCTGAACCTTGAAGAGGCTTCTAAAAGACAAAAGAGCTGCCCTCTTTCCCTCCTCCTACCACTTCCAATTCTGGAGTGCAGATCCAAATCTGAAAGGGCTTGGAGAGAGAATCTTAACATCTTTTGGCTCCTAAACCTTTTGCCATCATGCCTCCCTTTAGACTAGTCTTAATGTATGCCTTTCCCCTAAAAGTCAAAGACCAAAATGAACACCAATGAACAATATAACGGTACAATGATTATGAGGTTTCCATTTCAAGTGTAGCTCTTGATGGCATCTCTGCTAAAGGGCATGCAAAGCATACTCTTAATTTAAAAAGTCTTGTCAGTGAAATATGATGGGGTGGGGGATGTGATCATAATTAGCAGGTTCAGAAAATTATTGAGAAAAATTGTTTTTTGCAATTCATCAGTGCCCCGGCAGTCATCTCCAAAAAGCTTCTTAGTGCGATTGAAGAAAATTAATGGGTGCAAGTATTTGCTAAAAAAATATGTTACTAGCAAATACTTTGTTCTATGCTGTCAGGAAATAGGAAATCCTCTTGGACATCTGCAAGAAGAGTAGACGCTGAAATCCAACTGTTCTAAAATATTGTGGTTGAGTACTGGAATATTAAGTTTTAACCGTCAGTGTAACTTCATTGATGCAATGAATGTTTTTCTGTCTTTATGAAATACTTTATGAAATACTCCATTGTTGCAAAATACCATCTGCTATATTTACTTTTCTTGAACCTGTAGCAAATGATGAGGGAGTATAACATGAATTCAAAAGATGGCTTCAAGAATGCAGTTGTGACAAGATTGAAAACATGGCCTCCTCTTAACACATCGTATCTTGAAATGCCAGTTTCGGTGATGGTGAGGTTGGGTTTTGCAATATGGTTTGTTCTAATGTTTTATACACTGAATATGCTGGGCAGTTTGATGTTTTCTAGAATAGTGACTTGTTACAGCATGTGTTAACTCTGAAATCTGACTATTTTATCCTCTTACCATTTATATTTTATTTAAAAGAGTCGCATACTGGAGGGAATCAATCTCTTCACACTGTTTGAGAAGCTGTGGCAATTTTGGTATATGGCAAAACCAAACATAGGTTTCCTCAAAACGGACATGCTGCATAACATAAAGATGCAATAAACTTAGCATTCCCAACCTGATGCCTTGCAGAAACTTCGGGATTACAATTCCCAGAATTCCCAACCAGCATACTTGATGGATATGCTGCCTGAAAATAAATAAATTATTGCCCAATAAAACACAGAGGGCCCCAAATTGAAGAAGTGGTTATTGATAGCCCTCTCATACATTATTTTGTCTGATCCACTTTCAAACATGTTTAAAGTAGTGGTCATTAACAAACGTTTTGGTAGCAGTTCTAAAAATTAATGCTTACACAAATGTTTATCTAATTTTGATCAATTTATTGATTTTTATGAGAATAAGAGAAAAGATGGATTGTTGTCCAATTTTATTACACGCTATAGAGCTTGTTACAGTTTACTATTAGGTTAGCTTACATTACACCCATATTTATGTCAAGAAGTTGGATATGCCAAATACTTGATTCTGGGTGCTGCTTCCTGATGGTTATACTATTCATGATGCCTGGGTGAAAGTCAGAATTATGCAGATGTTTCCCAGAAGATAATAGCAAATGCTTAAGCCTCCAGAAAATGGGTGAGCTTTTACTTTTCTTACAAATTTGACTACTTACTGTAGATACTGTACATAAACCTTGGGGTTTAATTCAGATATCATATGACTTCAGTTACTCTGAGTAAGAGTTATATGCTGAGAGTCAGCAGTTCTTAGGGGAAAGATGTCAGTTATGTCACTAATCAACAATTGCCCAGCCTCAAAAACTATGAATGTGGGACAGATGAGAAGAAGCAACAACAGATTTAAACTGCTATGGGGATGTGGAAGCTGCATCCTCATACTTAGGGAGGGCAATTAGTTATTAATAACTTCCTTTTATAAGCTATTATTTGTGAATGTTTTCCTGTTTTTCAGAACATTTTCAGCAGCATCTTGATTTAGCATTATCAGAGGGCCACATTTTAAAAATCAATTCTAAGAATTTTTAAAATTTGAACTGGACAAACTTGTAATTTGAAAACTTAGACATTTGATGGGAACAGTTGTCAAAGATGTAACTAGCTTAGCTTCTAGAAATTATACACTTCCACAAATCTGGAGGTTTTGCTACATGGTTCTTTATTTGCCTCATATTTTCTTGCGACTTAAACATCCCTTTTAAGAGCCTTCATTCTACTCAGGGTGACTCCTTGAGTTAACTTTTAGTGATGTGAAATACGATTTTGTAATCTGAGCTAAAATGACTAACATAATTTGGTTGCATTCATGATCGCAATACAAATTGATTTCTAATACAAAACATGCCACTTCAGTATCCAAATTGTTATACTGATGGCTTTGTGAAAGGTCTGTACAATAGTAGCTTCTTCAGGTAAGAATTAATTTTGGGCAAATCCATAGAAAAATTGTTCAAAGCATGTTTAAGAAAACATTACAAATCTAATTTGTCACTATGTTGATACAGGTAATCCTTGATTTACGACTATTATTGAGCCCAAAATGTATGTTGCTAAGTGAGAAATTTGTTAAGTGAGTTTTGCTGCATTTTATGATCGTCCTGGCCACATTTGTTAAGTGAATCACTGCAGTTGTTAAATTAGTAACACCGTTGTTAAGTGAATCTGGTTTCCCCATTGTCTTTGCTTGTCAGAAGGTTGCAAAAGGGGATCACATGACCCAGGGACACGGCAACTACCAGAAATGTGAGTCAGTTGTCAAGCATCTGAATGTAAATCATGTGACCATGGGGATGCTGCAACGGTCATAAGTCTGAAAAATGGTCATAAGTCCCTTTTTTCAGTGCTGTCGTAACTTCGAATGGTCACTAAGTGAACTGTTATAAATCAAGGACTCCTGTAGTGTTTTTTCATGAGATATATGCCATGTATGTTTTGTGATGGAAAAAAACCCATCTCTTCTAGCATGTTTTTCTTTAATGAACCTAGAAAGAGCTCTGGTGCCAGATATCTTTAGCTTAGTAGCTCCTTCATATTTTTAAATAGCTTATTCTGGAAAGAAGTGTTAACATTAGCCTTAATGGCCAGAGTGAGAAGTCAAAATAAAATGTATACTCTAGGTTTATACTATCTGACTTGTTGAAATAAACTTTCCAGGGGAAAAGTATGCAAGGGCACTTGTTATGAAACAATAACTTCCTGAAAGCTCTTGAGACCTGACGTATGATCTTCTGTTGGGATGATTTAAATAATTTAACAACATGGCAGGAGAGGAAGATGAAATATAACTAAATAAGGGTTAGCGTTTCCAGAGATGGACACTTTCTCATTGTGGTTTGCTTATTTACCAACTAGGGCTGGAGGGACAAAGACTGAAGGACGTTGTCTTCAGAAATGCTGCAAGAGTTTGGAAAATAAATGGCTGGCAGGAGGGACAAAATGTTCCGCTCTGAGGCAGAAGAAAGAGTTGTGGGGGAACATTTAGCAGTATCTCTATTGTGTCTCTGTTTAAAATATTAAAATTATGGGCAGGCAGTGACTGAGAGAAGAAAAACAAATGCAGCTGGGGAACTGATAAGCTATAAAGGACAGGTATTTCCAGCTGGAATTGTAGTACCATTAATAACTTTCTCTGAAGTTCTCTAGGAGAGACATGATCTTGAGGGTAATCTGTGTCTGGAAACATGAAAGTATAGCTAATATACTATGGTGCATTCTGATGTTGAAAGGTCAGGCTATATTGGCTGTGTCTTTTGGCAACGCTGTATCCAAGAATAGAAGACTAATTGTAATAGTCTGAAATCCTTGGCATGAATGTGTTTAGACACAGTGTTTGCTCTTCTCTCACTCTCATCCTTTCCATCCATATATGGAGATAATATGGTCTAGTTCTGCGAGGTTATGATCACCCCTTGCATCAAGGCTAGGAATCAAAACTGAGCCCAAAAGCCAACTGAGCACCCCACGCTATAAAATCCAAAACTGGGCAATCCTATATCTCCCAAGCTGTTCACAGTTATGTTTTAATAATGCTGCATTGTTTATATTGTGGATTAATACTCTCATAACCTTTTCGGCAGACAAGCCGAACTTCAAGGCAGTGCAGAATCAAATAGATAAATGTTAAAATTCTAAAGCATTGATTAATATATAGATGAACATTTTAATTTATTAATTCAAGTGAACATAACTCAGGCTAAAAACTCATTTTGAATACAAATTACAAACTGTATGTAAACTACAAAAGTAGTTTATTGCTCCCGTTGCTTCTGTTTGGATCTGTTTATATCCCTGACTTCTCTTTCACGGACTCAGCGTAGCATTTTTCTTCACAATTTTTCAATTAGGAATGTATGAGAAATAGTAACTTGTCCAAGGTTATTCAGTTTATTTTGCCAAATTCAGATTTTGCGTCTCAAATGTGAAAAAAATCTAATGTTTGCTCTGCATCCCCCCCTTTTTTTAAAAGGAACAGATTCTTGTATGCTAAAAAAATAACAAATGCACACTCACTTATTTGCATTTATTCTTCTTATTTTTCAGACTGTCATTTTACTCTGGACATTCATCGTTCTCCATGTATTGCATGCTGTTTCTAGCAGTAAGTATATGTATTTTTAGCAGCTGGTTATGATGTTTAAAAAGTTTGAGGTGGAAATATTTGCTGCATTAGCAGAATTTCTTTTGGGCTGTTTGTGCAAGGGACACATGAAATAAAAGTGATATGGAGGTGAAATGGGAGTGTTTGGAATGCTGGTCAATACCTACCAGCAGACTTCCATTGAATTAACAGGATGTTTTCAGGACAGATGAACAAGTAATCAGATTGGGGGTTAGATGTAGTTAGCATTCTGCCTTTTGTGTATTTTGTCTTAAATAGACCTGGTAAAATAGTTTGACCATTATGCTGTTAAGGTAGCAATAGCAAAGGGAACATAGCCAAACTCAACAAAACTAAAGATCCATTAAAGTTGAATCTTAGGTGGAAGTTCTTGCATAAGAAGAAAGTGCATGGCAGAGCAACTGGCAATACTTTAAACGATGCTGAGATGCACTTCTTCACCCTAGAGGAAGTTGATCATCTGATGGCAGTACAAGAGCCTAGTTGCGGTATTTTTGATGTGGAAGACATCCCTCTTTGCTTACCATTACAACACAATTAAATCAACTCTAAAAGACAATTTGTGAAACCACAATTGCTATTTGTCTGAATCCCAATTAAGTATGTGTGGATGCTTCATTTTTTTTATTCTTTTACATTGCATAGAAAGAATATAGCTTTTATGTAGTATATAATTCAATTGAAAGTTTTAAAAACAAAGGTTAAAAACTAATACAAATGAATATAAAGTAAAAAAGAAAAAGAAATTGAAGAGAGCTAAAAGTGCAAGAAAGAAAGGAAAAGGAAAAAAAGATACAAAAAGTGGCTTCAAATCTTCTTTTTATAGCAGTTACAGGTATAATTACAAATTTATCTCTTTTTTTAAAGTTAAACCATGACTTCCTTCTTTCTATGATCTATCATGTCTAATCATCAAAACAATAAATCATAAATTCATTTTTTTCTGTTTTATGCAAAAAGTGCATCAGGCGTTTCTAGTCAGCTGTAAACAGTTATTGTCTTACATCAAAGAAGTTAGTTTGGTTATCTCAGCATCTTCACCAACCATTCCTTCATTGTAGATATTTCTGATATATTTATTCTCTTGAGTTGTTTTTTTTTTAGTATACTATGTTTTTATTCTGTTCACTGCTTAGAGTTCTTTCCAGTAGAGCAGTTATCTAAGTTTGTTTAATAAAATAATAAATAAGAATGTATGTATTTTGTATACAACAAAATAAATCTCCAAATCTTCGTAATTTGCAAAGTCTCCTGATAGTTGACTGTAATAAGACACAAGAAGAATATACATTAAAAGATTCATGGTTAAAAAATAGGAATAACTACAGAGAGAAAAAAGTAATTTATTTTTAAATGTTGGTCTCAAGAGCTTTATTTTAACTAAGATAGAGAAAATTCAGTAGAATGGGATGGGGAACTAACCTAGCTTCTGGAGGGAGGCTGGCCCATAAAAGCCTGTGGCATTGGCCACATCTATCTTCCCTTCCTGGGAGTGAGAATCACCAGCTCTGGCTGGAGAAGATAAATCCATAGGCCTTCTCCTTGTTTTCTGCCCCTATGCCAGTGTTATTTGGGGTACAATGAGATGTCTCTTCTCTGATGCTTGGAAAGAGAAGGTATCTTGCTATCACTTACTTTGGTCCCACCTGTCATGCCATCCCAAACAAAGTATCTCTTGAGAAAATGCAGCCCCCACCAGAAAAAAAAAAGGTTGCCTGTATTTCCATATTTGGTAGGGTTTTGCAACTTAAAAGTGAATTCAACTACAGAAAGATTAATGGCATCCAATAATTTTTATCTAATAGAGTGGACAGGTGGAGGGGTTAAAATATGAAGCTGTTAATTGTGCAATCAAAATGCTTCCTCTTTTTAACGTGTTACATGTACTTCCGTACGAATGTGAAAAAGGGATAGAGCTTTAGTTGCATAGAGCTGTCATGGGTGCCATTTGACTGTTTTTAATCATCCTCTTGAACACGTCTGGGTGGAAGTGGAGAACTGTAATAGTTTTTTGGAGTGCTGAGCTGCTTTTTAAATCACATTCAAAGTACCCTAAACATATTTTAGAGAAGTAATTGAAGCAAGACTACAGTATTCTTATTTTCAGTAACATTTATTTCAAGATGGTCCTTTGGCCATTATACAACAGATGGGCAACAACACAATAAAATATAATCATAAATCACAAAAGTCAATAAAAACCAAATGTTAAAAAATAGTCAATGAATCATTTTAAGTTGATGTTGAAAATAATTCGTTTAGTACTAGGCAAATGAGAAGAGCATTCCTATCTCTTTTTATTATTGACAATTTTTTCATTTGCTTCAGTGGGTCAGAGTAACTGGCAAACCTAATTTGTATTTGCCTTGACATTGCTTTTTGTTTCAGTTTAGAGAAACTGCCCATTTGTTTGGAGGGATTAAACCAATTTATAAAAGAAGGAGAAAGTGGTGCTCACATTTTTATTCCTCCAAACCAGAGGTCTTCAAACTTGGCAGCTTTAAGACTTGTGGACTTCAACAGGATTTTCCAGCCAGCATAGCTGGAGACTTAATGCCTTGACTTATTTATATAATAAATAAATAAAGGTGGGATTTAAGAAATCTGAAGAAATAAATTGAAAGTGAATTTTGGTTACAATATGTCTAAGCAATTTCTTTTTAATAAAAGCTGCACAGTTTACCTTCATGTTCTTAATTTACAATAAGAACGTTGGACAGAAAGTATTCTTGACAATACATTATAAAGCACTAATGACATTCTGAACTTCATGGGGCAACTCTCTCCCCCTCCTTTCCCTGGGCATAGCATGAGTAAGAATGGATCTTGAGAATGTCTGAGGAATTTCCCTGTAGGAACACTCTCAATTCTTGAATGAGTTGGTGGTATTATTGTATGTTGCAAGGAAGAGTTGGTTCAATTATGAAGCTCTTTCCTATTAAAGTGTCTTGCCTCTTGCAACATACAGATGTACGCTCCATTAGATGGTGCAGGATTTTGTCCCTGTCAGTCGAAGACATCTGCTAACCTGTTTCAAATGTTCTTTCCAAGCTGCTTCATCCTGCCGCTTGCACGCTTGGCTCCAGCTGTGAGTCTGTGCTGCTCGTGACTCTCCAGTTCCTCACATGTGGCATTACTCACAGCTTGGATTAATCATAAGCAGACGCTTCAGACTGCAGCCTCTGGAGGACCAAAGGAATCTCACATATGTTAGTGTGACTGACTGTGCACACAAACAAAATCCCAAAGCCAACCCAAAAACTACAGTTGTGCAATCCAGCCACATTGACAACTAGATTGCAGTTCTGAAAAAACCATTGGCACTTCATATTCTCCTTATTCCATCACAGTGTTCACTTCAAATTCTGCCCTTTAAAATCCTCCAGATTGTAAGAAGGTCCACATGCTTTTTGAGCAAGCTTTTGTTTGGGCCTGGCAGATCCCCCAACCTGCTGGTTATTTAAATCCATTTGCTGAACCCCAACTCACTGTAATTACTGTTCTCAGTGAAGTTTCTGGTCCTTTCTGACCTCCCCCCCCACCCCACTAGCACTACTGTGTTCTAATGGTAGCCTTTCACCTGCTTAAAAAGGTGCACACAAACCTATTTTGTAACACAACTTGAAATCCAGCATCACATCAGTAAACATCACCCCAAACACTCCTTTAGAAGTTCCTCCACACTTCCAGAACCTATACAGGCTGCATTTATATGATTCTCTTAATCTGGATTTGCACAAGATGTTAAATGGTATCAAATGAGATTTGCTTACATAACAGGCTTTAAACAGCCATAAAAAAGTTAACTTTAGCCAACCATATCATATTATGGTTTAGGACAAATATACAGATAAATATGCCATTGATCATAATTGGTACCATTTGCATGTATCTTAATCAGCCGATGGCAGCATCTGTCTGATCCAATTTGAGTAAGAAGCTAAGCAGAAGAGGGCTTGGTTAATACTTATGAGACCTTTAGGAAATTCCAGGGTTGCAGGCTAGATTGGGAAGAAAGCAATGGCAAATTGCTTCCATATGGCTCTTAAGAAGGCCGTAGAGATGCAGCCACAGGAAATAAAGCCATCTTGCAGAGGTCTGTTACTGCATTTCAGCTCTTGGGCTCAGAAATTAAGTATGGTGAGATCTGCTTAATCTTTGAATAGAAGACTTCCAAGAAATCCTAGGAGAGTAGACTGTGCAGTAGGGAGGAAAAGGCCCAGAAAAAGACATTGACTAAGCACTGCTGTATAGTTGCAAAGAAAACCCCATGGCTGTGTCCATGAAATCAACAGGAATCAAGCTGGACTCAAAGGAATGTTATCTTTTACTTCTTATAAAATGAAATCCATGTTGTAATTCACATAAATTCAGAAATTATCCAAATTCATTGGACGTAGTATTGCTGTTTCTTTTCAGCAATGTTAACAGAGAGTTCTCAACTTAGAACCACAATTGGGACAGGAACTGTACAGCAATGTGATTATTAGATGAGTTGCACCTGATTTTATGATCTTTTTGTCATGGTTGTTAAGTGGATTTCTGGTTTCCCACATTGACTTTGCTTGTTGGAAGCCCACTGGGAAGTCACAAATGACAATCATGTTACTTGGGACACTGCAGTTGTAGTAAATGCATGCCAGTTGCCAAATGCCCAAATTTTGATCATGTGACCAGTGGAATGCTGCAATGGTCTAAAGTGTGAGGCCTGGTCATAAGATACTTCTTTCAGGGCTGTCGTATCTTCAAATAGTTGTTAAACAAATGGTTATAAGTCAAAGTCTACCTGAAACACTTGTTTGTTTCACAGATACATGGTTTATGTATTTATTTTAAATTCAAGAACTCTGAGTTACTTTTTGTTCCCATTTTACTGCTGTAGTCTTAGTAGATGACACTAACAAGCCAGACTTCACCAACTACACCAACCGCATATGCTAAGCAGTGTCAGCTGGAATGGGGACTGCTTGGAAATTTTAGACCTCTAACATAAATTGAGAAATAACAATTTTAAAAGGCCATAAGAAGGCAGTGACAATTAATTTCATATGACTGTCAGGAAGGCTGCATGGATGCAGTCCCTAGGCACCATATTCAACTTGCAGTGTTTACCTTTTATGGACTCTTCTCAGCAGTAACAGTCCTTGACTTAGCCTGAAGGAAACTTTAAATGAGTCCGTTAAGGGAATGCCATTCTTCTTAGCCCATGGAAGCCAAGGAAATTATTTGGCAGAGCAGATAAATTTAGTCCTAACAATTGGCAGGGATTTGAAAGTTAGGCATATAATTCATATAACATCCAAAAGTTAACATTCCTTGATTTAAGGCAAGTGTCAAACTCGATTTCATTGAGGGCCACATCAGGGTTGTGTTTGCGTTGGTGTGCCGGGGTAGGTGTGGTCATGGTGGGCATGGCTAGCTCAATGTCACTATGTCGGGGATACCAGTGGAGGTCCAAGTGCTTTGCCAGCAAAAATGGGCTCCTGAGCTCCGTTTTTGGCTGCTACGGCCTCCTGCAACCCTCTGCCAGCGAAAACGGAGCTCGGGGGCCACTGGCAGAGGGCTGCAGGAAGCTGTCGTGGCCGAAAACAGTGCTTAGCTTTTGATCATTACTAAGTACATTTATATACAGCATGACACTTTATTCTATTTTATTTTAACCTATATTTTAAATTTTTAGCTTTATGCCTTAGTTTAAGACAATAATACTTCTTTTGGTCCTAGAGACATAGCTTACAGCGGTAACAGTAGTATCAATATTATTTGTATTATTCTTTTATCTTATGTTTTACGTTTGGTTGTCGTTTTTTACCTTTTTTACTTTTACTCCTTTATTACTGTATTAACCACTTTAGTGGTTAATATATTTTGGGTTGAGAGACTGAACAATCTGCCAGGGCTTGGTCTCAACCCAAAGTTTTGAGAGTCATCAAAAAAGTCATCATTCTTTTCTGATTATAAAGTAGCTGTTAAAAGTCTTAAGTTTCCCCAGTTTAAAGAAAAGGGGTGGGCATGTAAAAGGAGTGTATGCCCTTCTCTGCTCCCCATGGATTTTGGTTTCGAAAGATATAGGGCCACCAGCATTGGGCCGTGATATTCTCAATGATCAGCAGCAAACGTCTATCTGTTGCTGCCTTGTAGTGGTGATCATATGAAAGAGTGTTTTTAGCAAATTGTGAGGGAAGAGTTTTAGCTGTGTTTTTTGGGAGGGGTGTGCGTTGCAAGGCAAGAACAAAAGCCCCTTCCCCAACTGCTGCTGTCTTGAAGAAGAAAATTGAGTCCAACTGCTTTTAAGTGCATGGGAGGAGGGGTAAACTAGAGACACGGTCATGTCCATGTCTTTTTGGCCCTTAGTGAAATGGAGATGTTTATCTCTTCTGTAATCTCTGTGTGGCAATGATTATTCCTTAGCAGACATGTGTTAGCTGTATACACATGCTTGGAACATGTGCAGTGACCATTTACAACTATCACCACAGGCTTAAAACATATCGAATTCATTGTCTCTGTGGATATATTCTGCCTAATTATTGGTATAAAGCTATGACAAACATATGGCATATGTGTCAGTGTTACAGATTTAACTTTTGGGCCTTTGTATTTAAGATAGGGTTTCCTTGGAAAAATACTTGAGAAAACTCTGTATATATCTGGCCATGTGCTGTTTTATTTTATACTCACATCCATCCTCAATGAAGAAACTCAAGGTATATAAAATGTTCCACACCAACTTCTAAACAATCTTTCCTTGAAATGGGAGGTTGGCTACAAGTTACTATTTCTCAGAACAGCAGGGTCAAAGAGTCGCTCATTGAGAAGGATGCATATCATGGCTTCCTTCAAGGAAGATGGCACAATTCCTCTTCCAAGGAGACAATAAACAGATCTAGTCTTCTGTTACCTTCTTGACCGCTGTACCCCAAGTAGAGCAAGAATGGTGGTGCTCACAGCACAGAGGAGCCTGACCTCAAAGCAATCTCAGATAGCCTCACAAGTTGGTATGCTTGTCATCTTGATAGGCTTCAATGATAACTAAGTGAATGTTTTGCTAAGTAACTCTGCTTTTTGTTATAAAATAGTTTGTGGGGCTTCCCACAATGCTTTAAAAGTCCATTTTATCATATCTTCCTTTTTATGAATAGCATATGCTGTTAACTTCTTTTCTCTTGAACTTTTGAAGAGATGACCTACTGTGAAGTTGTCAGCTAAACTGATCTCTGTACAATACTCCTCCCTCTTTAAAGGGCTTTGTGACCCGAAAAACACAATGGAAGAAATTCTCCTCCACATCTCTGGATAAAATGTTGTTTGATGACAGTTTTCTTGCTGTTAATAATTAAAAATACCAATGTAAAGCCACTTCAGAGGATCATTCAGTACATTTATGACAGATTAAGGACACAATGAGTCCTGACTAGTATTTTCTTTTTAAGGGCTGAGTGGATGATATGTTACCATTAACTCAGACTCACAGAATGCATCTTTGGTTTTCATCCACATTAGGAGAACCTCAACTGCTAACTGATCAAGTAATAGATGACCATTTTGTGGACTCTAAAAATAGGGCACAATTATGCTGTATGTGAGATCAGACATGCAACATATTGGTCAAGCCAATTAGAAGAACTGCGACTGGTGTATGAGCTAAAATATTGGAAAACACTTTTGGTCACTCTTCAAAGGCAGCTTACATAACTGACAATTTTTGGGGCTCTCAAAAATTCTAGAGTTCTCCCATGGATTTCCCATCTTGTCTAAAATGTTTGCATATATCTGCCAAGTGTTCTGTCATGAGGACCCACCCTAACTATGTCTTTTACCATGTACACTGTAGAAATTTCCTATTTCCTGAATTCTTACAGGCCCTGTATTCTTACAACTTGCCTGTCTCAGTAAGAACCTGCCTTACTAGTGGTTTTGGCATACTGACTAAATCAAAAGTTTGCTGGTTTGGTAAAGAGTGGAACCCCACCTACTACAGACAAGATGTTTGTATTGTCACGTGACCCTTTGCATCAGGAGACTACTGCTAAAGGCTAATTACATCACTCGCCCTCTTCATAGATCAGGCAGAGAACAAAAGAGTAAAACAAAAAACAAAAAAACCCCAGGCAGAATACTACTTGCATCCTACCAAGGGCAGTTGGCATGATTGCCAAAACAGATTGCATAATTTGACAGTGTGAAATGAAGGTAGAAACTCATCTGGAGTTGTAGAGGGATCAAAAAATTTCAAAATCGGGTTCTAATGTGAATCCACATAGCTGTGCACGTGCATCTTTTTAGAATCGGTGGGGAACAGTTTTTGAAGCAGCTGAGGCTTGCAAATTTCCATGTGTAGCAAAGCACCATATTTAAATGCTATCCCTAGTATCTAGTATCCTAGGAGAGCCTGTGGCAGGAGGGCCTATTGGCTAAGGCAAAAGCAGTAGGTATGCTTTGTCCACTATAGGCTGAGTTTTAGAGGTATGTTCTGTGCAGATTGTGGCAGTCTTGGCAGTGGAGAGGCTTTTTTCAGCCTCATCTCTTTTGCTTGGCAGACTAGCTCTGCAAAATGGGTTAGCTGACTGGATTTAAGTCTCCATCAAAAAACTTTAAAAATCTTCTAAAGAAAATTTTAAGGTGGAGTTAGTTCAATCCTATGCCTACATTTGGACCAAAGTACAACCTCTTCATGTTTGTTGACCAAATCAGTTGATCCTTTTTTGGTGCTACCTCCAAATGTTTAACTATTTTCGAAGAATAGGGTGTGAGATTTGAACACATTCAACAATGTCCACTCATGAGTCTATAGAAATAAAAGGGTCTGTCTCTGCATGTCAAGAACAGAAAAGAAACCTGAAGACATTTAAAGAAGGAATTGGTGATCTTATATGAACTGGTTCAGGTATCTAAATTTTCCTTGTCCAGACCAAGTGCTTGGATCCTTTTTCCCTCTGCTGCCTTCATTCCATTGAGGATCTGTTCATCAGATGAACAGAATTTAGCCCTGTAAAGAAAAACCAGGACTAGGATTCAACGTGCCCTTTTAGGTGACTTTAAAATGACACCTGGCCCCACTTCATTCAATGGCTTCCCTTGGTGATAATAATCTGTTATGCTGCCTCAGTATCTCTTTACAGACAGAGATCTTTAGCATCATATATAACTGCACCATCCCTCTATTTCAGCAGGGATTGTATTCAGCAGAAGTATTCATTGTATATGTCCCTATACAAGATAGCGCTATGAATTAGATGATCACTCGAGTTAAAATCCCTTGCTTTCAATGGCCTTGGCTTTAAATATGATCTGCAAGCATCTGACTTACATTTAGTGTATATGACAAAAAAGAGGCTGAAGCCACAATACAGAGTTTAAGGCTTAAAAATTATCTGATTATCTCACAGCCTTTGAAGTCTGATTCCTGTAAACATACACCTCCTCCTCTATTCTTTCCTTCAGTAGTTCTTTGTAGATATTAAAAATGTATGGCTTGCATTTTATAAGCTGTTAAGATTGTGTGAGAAGAGATCTCATTGCAGAGTTTAATTGCATGGAGACACATAGCAAGAACAGCATTGTAGTGGAAAATTTTGCTGTGGTGGAGCACATCATAACCAGGCACTAAGAAGAAATCTCCCTCCCCCACCCCAAAAAATCTGTGTCCTGTTGAGGCAGCTCTGTATTTACATCCAGAGGATTTGGCAGTCTATGAACAAAGAACTGGAGAAAATGACTAGAAGTAATTACATATTACTCTTTTTTTTTTTTGTCAGATTTTCTACAACTATTTAATGGTGGTTCCAAAACCCCTTTTAAGTTTGCTGGCTGTGATGTTTATAGCCTTAGAAAGCAAATGTTTCTCTTCTTGGAAACATATTAAATGGATCCATGGTACTTTTTGAAAAAGGAAGGTAGTGGAATGAGAGTTGCATTTCAACTTCCAAAAAGTCTTTGACCAAAAGCCAGGAATAGTATACTTAGTATACTAGTATATTTAGTAGATTTGTAGCAAAAATCGTATGTTTAATTATGGGTGAAAAGTCACCTACCTTATCTAAACATATCTTGATGTAACCTGTGGATGGTCATGACCTACGGGGAGGTCATTTTGAATTAATAAAAACTTTTAAATGTAGCCTGTAAATACAACATCATGTAATATAATTAAATACAATATAAATTACCACCTTTGGAATCGGGTAGAGAAATTGCTCTGTTGTAAATTTATAAACAAGTCATTTGTCTCCATCCTTTTGCTCAGGGCCAGCAAGCGTAGAAATGCCTTGGCACTGATGTCTCCACAACCAGCATCTTTCAAACTCCCACTCTGCTGTAACCACTTAACCCCTCGTACTCCCTGCAATTGGCAGCAATTCAAAAGCTTGCGCAATATTCATGAAAAATCCATTGGAAACATCCCAATTGCTGAACAAACTGAAATACAATTCTTGGTTCACCTGTGTATTATTTATACAATTTATATGTCACTCCAATTTAAAAAGATTCTGATGTATTAAATCATTAGCTACCTAATGCTTGCAGTAATCTCCACCTTGAAAAGCCTAATGGAATCCAATTAACAGCTTCTGAAAGCTGGTGGAACTTGGTGATAACATGAATGAGATTGCAAATTACTTGTGCAGATAAAAGGAAACAAAGATTACAGAATCTTTTCAGTTTTAATATATCTTGTATCTTGTGTAAATGTTAAAAAAAGACTTTTTGAAGCTTTAGGATGAGTTTGTAAAGTTTATAATCTACAAATGGGCATGAATGGCATATAGATTTTAGAATAGAGAATAAAAATATTTTGCATTTCCCTCAATATAGAGATCTGATCTCAGAGGAACTCTACGGTCATCCTACCTCCTGCTACTCTTAGCCTTCAGGGCTTTTATGATATAAAGTCCCAGAAAGTGATATGCCCTGAGAAATCCAATCAACCCCAACCCCTTCCAACCTTAGAAGTATCCCATATTACTTAATTTGCCTCAGTCGTAAATGTATTTTATTTATTTTATTTCCTCATTAATCACATTCTTTTAACATCTGAAGAAGAGAGACAGTGCAGCAAATGTTGTTTCTTTATTTCTGCCTGTAGAAAACACTGAGCAACTTAGTGCCCCTAACGTATGGAAATAAAATCCATGAATAAACATTAAAGCCACGTTTCCTGTTTTGCCATCTCAGTTGTTCAGAGTCCTGCTTTATGAAACCATTTCTACTTCAGGGAGGTTCAAACACCACATTTTAATCATTCATTCAATTTTGACATATTGGCAAGTCGGATGAAATCCTACCAGCTACCACCTAGCTCCTAGGCATTCAACCCGTTTTGTGTTCAAACCACAAGTTTCTAAACGACTGTCTTAAGGTTCCACCTTTTCTCCCACTCATAACCACATATACCACCTTCCCTCCTACATGTGTAATGTCGCTCTGCCAACTACAGCAATTGCTTGTGTGTAGAAACCATATTAGCCAAGTAAAGCATTTTTCAATGTCTTCAGTGGAATTCCTAAACTGGAAAAAAGGATGAATGCCAGCTTGCTTTTTTTAGACCACCAGAATAACTCCTGGCTCTAATTCTCACTGGAAATAAATGCTTTACATTAGTGTAACGGTCACAGTCACAAAAAAGGTCTAGAGAAAACTGTTTGGCTTGGAACACTACTATGCAATTTTACTATGTTGAACTTCATACCTGCCTTCGTGTCAAAACTCTTGCATTCATCTTCGAAGAATATGCCTGTAGAATGTCTTAAACTTAAATTTACAAACATTTAAGAAAATCAGACCAAGTACAGCTTGAATCTACGAAAAACTTACCTGGTTATTTAAAAATTGCTCCATATAGCATTAAACTTTAGTCTTTTTATAGCAGAATGACACAGATGAGTACCAAAAGGGTGATGTAATCACTAGTTTCAGAAACCTAAGTCTGCATATGTGCATTCATTCAGATAGATCTAATGTTTCTAGCAGGCAAGTAGCTTTTCATGTTTATCTTTGGAAGCACACATGCAACTTGCTTGTGTTCATAGCATGTGTGACTACACAACAATTTGCTTCTGTTAGTATTTTTCATGCCCAGGATACCATATAATTATTTGTTGAATAGTTATAGTATATGAGGATGAATTACTTGCCAACATCTTAGTGCTCCTCCCTTATGGATATTAAGGAACTAGGGTCAGTTCTAAGCAAATATTGCTTGGAAAGGAGCAGTTATGTGACTATTCTGAAGACAAGTGGAAGCTCCTTCAGAAAATGCTACGTCTGGTTCTGGTCATTACTGATACTGTTTTGTGATTAATATTGCCATATTCTAAGAACTTTTAGACACTTCAGAATACTTGTAAGGAAATGTTTTTTCACAGTGACTGTCAAATGATTGTGACATTGACTATCTCCTTATTCAGAAAAGACAACCACAATAACATCTATAACTTATTATTGAACACTGTACCACTTTGAATTTAAAAATGGGCAACACTTTATACATATATACAGGCTGATAGAAAGGATGTCTGTAAAAATGTTAAGTACAATACTGAATATGAAGAAACAGCACTCAAGTTGTCTTTATGCTTATCTTAGCAAAGTGATCTACCCACCTTCTGCAATGCTGATACTATTATCCATTACTATCCATTAGGTGATTGTATGTTCTACACAAAAATATTTAACTTTAAAATATTTAACAGATCTTCTGTTCTCTTGCTGAGAGTGTGCCTTTTTGGTTTTAGCTTTATCTTCAGGCCAGAATGAAAAATGACTGGGCAAGACTTTTGCGTCCTACAATCCAGTTTGGACTTGTTGCTTCATCCATTTACGTGGGCCTCTCCCGTGTTTCTGATTACAAACACCACTGGAGCGACGTATTGACTGGACTCATCCAGGGAGCACTAGTAGCAACCCTTATCGTAAGTCTGTAACAATTTTTTTCTTACCATTTGATCAATTCCATTTTCAAATAAGCTAATTTGACTTAAGCCTTTCTGGATTTTGTTTTTTTTTTCCTGAAATAAATCGCGAAGGGGCTTTCATATATTTAAACCACCAGTTTTGTGTGTTATAGGTTCACTGCAATGGGGAGAAGATGACATGAAGTTTTGCATTTGCCAATACTATTCTCCAGTATTGTGGCAGCCTTTTACCACATTTCACTATTCCACATATTGGTTCCCCCCCGCCACCTGCTCTGTAAATCGATTGTTGAGCGTCAGCCACCACTTCTAGAGAAAGTCTTTCAGTTTGAGTGTACCCAGTGGCTGATGTGCACAGAAGGACAGTAACAATAATGTAAGTGCTCTTCTATCTGCTGATGTGTAATACCAACTATTGTGTCCCTACAGGCTGTGTATGTCTCAGATTTCTTCAAGGAGAGAGGCCGTACATTTAAACAGAAGGAGGAAGAAGATTCACATACAACTCTACATGAGACGCCTACCAATGGAAATCACTATGGCAGTAATCACCAGCCATGATATGTGCAAGAGCTATTATCCTGTGGAATCTCCTGCTATTTAAAAGGAAAATTTCACAAATATTTCTGGTCTATGTAAAAAACAAATAAATGCCTTTTGAAGGGACTGCTGCTGCTATACCTCTTAAGTGCTCACTTTACATGTATATAGTTAACAACAATGTATCTAAAAACCTCAAATTTCTATTGGTTCAAGCTTATGCTTTATAAACACAATATCCTGACTATTTTTTTTAATTAAAATAATGTATAATACTTATTACAAACAGCAATGGAATATGTTCAAAATAAGAATCTGTCTTGCTTGGGAAGAGGAAGCACTGGTCATTTTAGTGACTCTTTCTTGGAGTAACTGCTGCAGAATGAAGGCTGTTCAGACACCACACATTCTTCTTATAGATAAAGACTTGCAGCAAACACAATGTCTCTCTTGATTTTTGTAATTCCTGTTGAGAATAAAAAAGACAAGAATATATCCAATGTTAATGGCATAGTTGTAGCAGATACTACTTGCTCATCATGCTAATAAGATATAGTAAAATGAAACTAAAATCCAGTGCTGAATTTTCAAGATATTGTACAGCTATTTTGACTGTTGGAAAACATTAGCAGACTCCTAGGTAAACCCCACCCCCCTCAAACTCCACAACAAGCAGATTATAACAGGCATGTTCAGTTCAAATTGAAAACTTTGGCTTGTGGCCAAGCAATTTTAAACTGCTTGTAAATATATTCTACATTTGAAGATGCATGTATTTATATAATATTGTACATACAAACCTTCTGCAAATTTGTTTTCCAGTTCTGTATTTCCAATGGCCTTTGCTGCTTGGCACATCTGTCTAAGCAATTCTTCTAGCCTTCTCATACATCGAATTATGCTACCTGAGGAAATGTACATAGATAGAAATCGGTAGATAGATATTCCTGTTAAAGCAGTCATTTTCTACAAAGAAACAAACCGTTTCTATGAAGTAGGACTGTTGCCTCTAGTATGGGGTTTTTTTGTGGAGCTGTATGTAAAAACAAACTCAATTCAATTCAATTCTCTTCTTCCGAAGCAAAAAGAACATAACAAAAAGTTTAAAAATGGCTCTGAAATCCACAGATTATTTCTTTTATATAGGACGGGCTCTGGCTACCCATCCCTGAAATTTATGTTTAACATGGGGGCTACTTTGTGGTCTTTGGGGTATTCTAAAACATCCCTCCCTCTCTCACTCTGTGCTTCAGGAAGGAAATACAAGACTTCATGTATTATATCTTAGCCTTAGCATATGCTAGAGATTTATTGTGAATGCAGGTTATTTAAAACAAAGAACCCAGAATCTACCTATCCTCCTTCCTGTATATTTTCATATTCTGCAAAGACACCTATGAAAGGTGGTCTTGTTTCAAACATTCTGGGAAACGTGAATGAATATTAGAGCTGGAAAAGTTGCGTAGGGAGTATAGACTAAGGCAGGGAATAGATATTTTGCTATTGATGACAATTTGAAGAAAGGAGGCCCATATAATGAACAATTTCATCAATTTGAAAGATTAAATTTGATTGCCTTATTGCAAATCTAGCAACTCTTTTAAAAAGTCATCTGGAGTCTGTTATCAAAAGGAAATAAAACTGAGCCACAAGAGCTTGGAACACTAACCTGCAGTTTAAACAAACCTATTTTGAGAAAGAATATCTTTTTTATCAAAGGATATAAAAATGAAGGGATATAAAAATATATATTAACATCTAAGGAACCTTCCTTGTGGTCATATCATAGAAAAAGTGTTACATCAAATTAGGCAACAAATAAATTCCATTTGCCAAGATACTCAGTGAGCATGTGCTCACTGAACCCGCCGCTTGTATTTTCCCACCTTCTCTCCAAATTGACAGTATGTCACTAAAACTTTACTTCAATGTACTTTGCTGTGACAGAGAAAAGTGCCTTTCAGTATTACTGCTCACTTTTGGAAGCATTTTTGTTTGCTTATCTGATATATGGAAATAAATATTTGCAATTTACATGGAGTTAACACACACAAAAAAGTTATGCTGCTATTGTCAGTGCCTTGTCTTATATTTTACGTAATTTTCTACCTTAGCAGTGGATATTGCTATTGTGGGCAGCTTAACTGAATTTATTCATCCCACCCTGCCCAGTGTTAAGCCACAAAAAAACTAGCTCATTGTGCAACTCTGGTCTCCCATTTAAAAATCAACCATTTGCTTACTGGAAAATCTTTTACTGCATGGGGAATGAAAGAGGACACTTTTATATCGCGTTTATAAATGCAAACTTGCCTGCCTGCTTCAGTCAATCAATAAAATGCATACCTAACAAAAGTAACTTCAGGCCTCTTTTATTTTACTTCCCTGGCATCCCTGATTCTTGTCTCTCAATAAATGGCATAGTAGTGGGCGGAAGATGGACATAATGAAAGGTTTACTTATATCTAATCTCATTTCTTCCTGATTTATAAAGGGTGTAGATGCTAACAATCTCATTATAAGAAACATTTTTTTCCTTGGAATAATGATTTAAACAGTTCACAAGATCTTTTGAATTTACAGAAACTTAGGGATCCTTTAGTATTTTAAAAAAATACTCTAATTCTCAAAAATTAAGATGTTATAACTACTCTTGTTTGTGAGTAAAGCAAAGATTCACTATATATATAAAAAAACCAACCTGTCAACCTGGGAAAAGTGGGCCTCGAACAAGCACATGTACAAGAAAGGAAGAAATTCTTTGGTGCAGTTACACCAAATTTCAATCCACAGTCAGAGAATTAATTTCTAAATCACATTTACCAAATACATAGAACTTGTCCGCCCCTGTGTTTTATCACCCTGCAAAGCCTCTTCGGATGTCACAGTTATTTTTGCAAAGAAACCCTTTGACATTTACTCTGGCTGCAACTGCTTTCAAAGCAACTGTTGCCACAGCAAACAATACGTTCAATATTTGCTAATGCCTGGGAAGGGAAAAGTAAAGAATATCTAGTTTTTATACCACCAAACAAGGTTTTAAAAGCTAAATGGCCAATACTGCAGTTTGTTTATTCATTCAATTTACATTCTGCTTTTTCAGGGACCATTTAATTAACAATTTTAAAAATGTTTTAAACCAAATATTACTACTGTCTATTTACCCTACAGTACATACACTTAAGTCCAGTGTAAAAATCTTCTAAAGTTGAATGAAGGATGCAGTACATGCAGCATCACATATTTCTCACAACTCTTTTGATTCAAAACCCTTAAGCAGAAATTTAAATGGAAGCTCTGAAAGTTTTACAACTCCAACCATTCTATTTGATTCCTCTATTATTGGCAATTCTCCCCTCTACCCCTACCAAAAACTATGGTTTGCTGGGTGTATTCAGGTACAAATGTCATAATACATAGTTTTTGTTTTAAAAAAAGAAAATCCCTATGAAAATTTGTAATGGGATTGGGAAAAGAAAAACTAATTTGGTGTTTTTCAATGTTTGTGAAAGCCAATTTCTCCCTCTTAAAGGAACTGGGAAAAAAAGGCAAGAATAATTTATCATTTATTAGGACACAATGCCATGTTCTTTTATCCTTTGTTGGACATTCTTCCTTTCTTATGAATAATTACCAATGTGAAAAAGACACAGTACAACCACAATTACTTACAACCTAAGATATTTGATTCTTTTAATTTTTAACTCCAGCAACAAAATAAACACACATACCTTCAAAGACATCTGTCATTTTACAGATATGAGCAAATGTAGCTCCATTGGCCCATGTGTATACCACATCCATCAGGTTTGGTCTGAACAAACTGAGATAGTTTTCCTCATCAACTTCCAATTTAGCTTCTGCTGAAACTTTGGCAATTCTTTTTGCACATTCCTGAAAAAGGAAAAGCCATTTTATTTAAAGCAACAAATCAACCCCCAAAATAATTGTCCTTAAGCACACATATCAGTCATTGTTTAGTTTCTATTCTTGAAGAAGAGATAAAATTTATGTCTTACCAATTTCTTGTATGTTCTAAATAAAGTAATTATTTGAATATAATTACTTTGTTTAAAAATGGCTTCTGCTTCCTAGTAGAAAATCTGTACGTTGGCACACGCTAAAGAAGAGCTCATATTAATAGGATAAAATTGGGATTTCCAAATGATACTCCTTGAATCATCAATCAGACTGTAGATACTTGTTCCTGCCATTACTCCACATTTTTAAAGTAAAATGCCAATTTCTAGCATTATCTTTAACTTAAAAAATATTTCTGGA